GGGGGGGGGGAGGCAGGCGGAAATGAAGAACGAGCGAAGATAGAGGGAGGCGCTCCGTCGGCTGTCGCGGCGCGAACGGTGCGCGTTCGATAGAGCCCGCCTCCGCCTCCGCCACGACCTACGTCGCCCCTCCTTCCGCCCACATCGCTTCCGTCTCCATAGCTTCCGACGCCTCCGCCACCGCCTACGTCACCGCTCCTTCCGCCCACGGCGGCCTCGCTGCTTCCGTCTCCATTCCTTCCTCCGCCTCCCCTTTCGCAGTATGCGCCGTTGACACGATAGAGAGGTGCCCCTCACACAATCGTACGTTTTTCTGTATGAATGTGTATATGCTGTTTGAACCAAGAGGTTGTAATGGCTGCCGTGTATGCTTCAAACACAATAAAATCTCGATTTTTTCGACATCAATACGTCCAATTCAAAATATTATTATTACTTAATTTCTTAACCTTTCTATATTCATACTGTTCAGTAACTCCTGTTTCTTTACATCAATGCATTTGGTGTCTAGTACGTATTTCAGGAAATATTCAAAATGCTAGTGAATGAAGTTCTACTGAAGTCATTTAATTTTGGTTTGGAATTGTGAAATGTTCAAGAAAATTATTTAAATAAATTAACATTTTGTAATAATAATTTGATAAATAGTTCAGGGCGACTCTTTGCATAAAATATTTTTTTGTTAGCTCTGACAATCTTGCATACGGTTAAACTATCGTACGACATTAGAATTTGCTGGAGAATTTTAAGACATCTAGGTTCACTGTTTCATTCCCACGGTTGCAGGTATCATTATTTCAGGTATCAAGAGTGATGCGCTGAAAACTGTATAAATGTGTGTAAGATTACGAACACTAATAACAATACAAAATCAAACAATTCAGGAAAATAATGAACGAAAATACATGAACATCGAACGTAATGAAATACTACTACAAACGCTATTTCTAATCTCAGCAGGAATGCAAGCAGTATTGCCTCACTCTCTCTTACTTTAACCACTCTGAACTGAATAGGTCATATGAGGTCTGAATGAAAAATAGTGCATTTAGATACACGGTATCGGTGAAAGAGGGGATAACGGTTAAGCAGATGTGGTTTTCATACAATTTATTAGACTGATTATAAGAAAGTGAGGCTTCTGAGATGTTTCCTTTCTTATGCTCTTGAGATTGATTTTCGCGTCACGGATATATGAGAGACGCGTTCATTTGAAATAAATAAGACGTATGTGCGAAAACTGAAATTTTAATTATATCTTCGGTGGACTCTCTATATTGTAAAAAGGTTCTATTGAACAAAGTCGATTTATTATTTACAGTATTTTATTTTCATGCAGAGTATTCCAATTTGAAAGTTTTGCTTGTCTCAGTGATAAGGTATGTGTGAATTAATGAGTGTTTTACGAGTGTGCACTTCAAAGGCCCGAAACCACGAGCATCACAAACGGTAAGATTATTTTTGCAAAAGCAATCATAGTTCAATAAATATTATTTGTTTAGAATTACATTCACACAAATGTAAAGGTGCAGTTTTTGTTTGTCACCAGTTTCACTTAAAATGCAGTATTATCTCACGTAGTCTGTTATTTTCAGTCTCCCTATTTGACATTTTCACTTGTCAGAGTGACAAAGTACGAGTTATATCGACGATTGCTTAGTACACTTCAAAACAACCAGAAAAGGGGTCATCAGTTACTATCAAAGAGTGTCCAATGAAATAATAATACCACACAAATTCTTTACTTACATTGAAATCCTAACAAATTTAATGTTTCACTTTTTGTTCGCCACCAGTTTCATTTATAACGCTCGCCAAGTCCGTGAAATATCTACCTTTTTACAGTTCAATGCAAAATTACAAATATCCCGGCATTCACAAGTTGTGATTAACGTGTCATAAGCAGAGCAGCCTGACAGGTGCGCAAAGAAGTGCCCCACCCCCGCGGCGGCCAGCAGCAGACATTCAACGAGCTGTGCGCGCGTCGAACCGCTGCCGTCGGGCGTGGGCGGCGGTTCTGTCACGGGGACGAGGCGGCGCGGGACGACCCGCGGCCTCGTATCTCGCGCGCGCAAAAAGGATTGATGCGGCGCGGCGCGGTGCGGCGCGGCGCGGCGCGGCGCGGACGCAGGCGAGGCCTTGGAAACAAAGCAGGCGCGTTACTTTACCTTGAC